TTTTCTAACTAGCTTGTTTGTGCACTTCTTTCACTTGTGTCCAGTCATGCATGTTATAATGCTAAACCTCACCAAACCTGGAGTGCAAAACATTGCTTTTTTTCTCTCCCCAACTTGTAGGGTTCTACCCGTGTGTGCTATCCTTAGCTCTCGTGGGAGGGCCTTGGTTTACAGAGCCCTGAAAGTGTGTTTTTTTACTTCTTCAGGTTTCTGACACTAACGTTATTGAGGAAAGACCTGGTCAGAACATCCTACAATTTCAAAGCATGAATGTAGATCCCAGAGACAAATGGCACCTGAAGTCACAACAGCTGAAGGTCCCAGCAGGTTCTGGGTGGCACATGCATGTGCTCTCTGGAATCTGGGTGGCAACAAAGCTCTTAGTTTCTCTGTCTCTAAACTTTTAACTCATATTTTTTCCTCCTTAATAGAACTCGCTTTTTATTTTATTTTTTTTCCATTTGATGACCCAAAAGCACTTTACAAAAACTACTGATCATCCATACCTAACCCAGAGTGTATTAAGTAATACATCCGTTACAGGTCAAGCCTTTGCAAAATAAGTGACAATTATTAATCTTTTTTCAGATGGACAAACTGAGGTACAGAAATGTTGATTAATTAGCCCAAGGCCACACTAATTGCTAGGAATCCTGGCTGGCAGTGCCAGGGGTATGTTTGATTAACTAAAACATCCTTTAAACATAAAAGTAGTTATATAGTATTAGAGAGAGCTAGAATATAAGAACCATATCCAAGGAAATTAGGAGTAGAGTAGGCTACAAAGAATCTAAATATCTTGTTCTACAACTCATGCACCAAAATCCAATGCATTTCCCCAAGTATGAGATTATACCATTTACTCCAAAAACCATAAGGCTACCCACTGATGCTCCAGCTAGGTTGGTAGCCAGAAGATGTAGTTATGAAAATAGATAGTCTGTGAAACTTGATGCACGAGATGGATTTAATCCATGCTTTATTGCCAAGTCTCTAGGAGTCCTTGGCTTAAAGGGTCAAATCTCCTTAGTTTTATGGGTCAGTGGCATTATCAGCTGAGTATTAGCCTCAAATGTCTAGCACTGGCTGGTTTTGATGAGCCACCAGGGAATGCAAACTAAAATTGTAATATTGTTTCATTTCTTGTTCTTTGGGGCGTGTAAGGGGTATTTGAAAACCAAAAATATGGGAGGAGGAAGTTGCACCTTAGTATCTGTCAGCCTATGTAGTTTCCTAAAAATGATCAGCATATAAAACCTCCTAGGTAATTGCATTATAAACTGATATAATGGAAAGCTTCCTGGTGCAGTAGAACAGGAGGTAACATGTCATTATTCAGGAAGATATCAGCACTTGAAAGGTACGCGAGTGAGCAGAATCCAACCAAAAAAATAGGAAAACAATTTACTGTCACATCAGTCACTGTTTTAGTTCGCTGCTTGTACTGTAGTGGGGAAGGAGATGTGAACAATGTAGCAGGCTAAAGACTCATTTGTTCCTTTGTTCTTTCACGATAGAAAAAGTGTGGTTGTAGTGTGTAAGGTTGTAAAGGGAGCAGAGTTAGTAACACAGACGACTGGACACAGATAGGAAATGAATTGTGTTCAGAAGAGAAGCAGAAAGAGTCTCAGACTGAAATAGCTAAGAAAAAGAGCACCTGCTTCTCTTTATCACCAGAAAAATGTTCTACTAAAGAAGGCAAATACATAGTAAAAGAGAAACAAAAGTTTGTTCTAAGGGTGACAGGGGAAAGCATTGGTAGAGACCACTTCCTTGTGGCAGTAAGAGGGAAGCCAGGGATTGCCAAATCACCATTCATTCCTGGGTCTGTGCCTGGACCATCCCTGACACATGCTGCCATTAATTTAACACGTCACCTTTATTGGTACAGCGTAGAACATAAAAACAACTGCAGTGTAAGGTGAGCATTAATGTTCATTGATAACCCTGGCTAACAATACTTAGTCATTTGCACAGCTGATTTCTGGAGCGATCATGTCATTTCCCAGTTCAACATACAAGTAGAAAATGACTCCAAGATTAGGTTTGATAAGCAGCACTCTCCTTGGGAATTTATGAGAAATGCAACAATAACTTTCTCAGCAACCTAGAGGCCTTTCTGGGCAGCAATTTTGCCATGAAACCTGATTATATTTCTGATTTGTCTCAGACAGATCAGTACCTGCACCAGCTCTGTTCAGCCAGCTCTGAAACCAGTTTGAGAAGTAGCATCATCTAAAACCTAAAATGTAATCCCATTGGCCAGGATAATACCACTGAAGTCCATGGAGTTTTACTGCCCTAAAACGCACAGAGATTTTCTACTGTTTTTCCAGGCTTTGTGTGTGTTTAAGATAATTTTGCATGGTTTGCCTCCGTCTGACCAGGCAAGATTAAAGCTGTGCAAAAATATCTCGCCTGATATAGGATATTGTGCAGACTAAGCGACTTGGATACCCAATTCTCATTAAAATCAATGACAGTTTACCATTTAAATCACTTATGCTTCTTTCAAAAAAATCTCAAACCTGTTTTCATTTTAATAAAAGTATGCTGAGTTTACTTAAGCAGACTGAATTCCTTACTGTTCATTGAAGGTTAGAAGCTGCACTCCGTAGGAGAGCAAATCAGCCTTTATGCAGTTTTTCTCGGGAAAGAGGTGATCTATAGATTTAAAATTTCTTAGTGAAGGAAGAATTTAACACTGTTACTTGAGCCATCTAAATGGGAAAGCAATGGCCTGGTCACAGCAACATTAATTATTACAGAGCAGGTCTAGCTAACAAATTATTATCTCGGCACCAGGAGTCAAGATTCCCCAGTGCTAAAGCTTTTGCCAAAACATTCTGCTTTATATGTGGATTTAATACCTACCATTAAGCAGTTACTGTGAGTGCATATGCTATGTAGCGATTGCAAATGTTGCTAACAAAAGAACCCTAGAGAGAACAGAGGATGAAATGGAGGATTTCAGTGCTGGCAAAGATTAAATGGACTGAGAATGCTTTGTGTATTACCTTTAAGAGAGCTCATATCTTGCTACAAAAGGAGTTACACCTGATGCCTTAATTGGAAGGTGAGAAAACTTAAGTAAACTGCAGATTTCAAGTACGCTGCTTTGGGTAAAGAGAGAAATCCCATTGAGCTTAAATTCCTAAATTGTTTCTTACTGCTGAGATGACATGTTGCAGGTCTCAGAAGCACATGAATACTTGATTTAACACTTGAAACAATTTAAACTGTTTATATTGACTTCTGACTTGGACACATCTAATAAAAGCACACCTTCTAAGGAGCTCTTTTGTCATCTAGGCTGTGAATACCCCTCTGGATATTTGCAGTTAAAAACCGGTTGCAGAACCTGAATTTAATGCTATATTTTTGATAATGTAGACAATTAATGACTGGGACTGTTGTACTCTTTGCATCTCCCACAGTCCACTTGCACATCCAGATTGGTAGGATTTTGCACAGGCAAAGAGGTGTGTCCATCCAAATATAGGGAGCACGGTTTGTGTGTTCTTTTTACAGTAAATGGCAATATGCTTTCTCTATCTAGATACCCAGCTGCCTGCAGGTCAGCAGATTCTTTACCACTGTACAGATGTATGCACACACACTCATACATCTATACAACTCAATGCTGCTATTTGTATTCCCTTCATACTCATTTTTTTCACTAGAGGCCTCTGAGCTATTTCTCTTTAATCCTTTCTAATTCCCTTTAGAAACTTTTTGCCCCTAAATAATTTAGTGTCACATCTATGAATCTTGTTTATTCTGAGCCGATGTATAGTCCGTAAGTGGCTGAAAAGCATAAAGAGAACTCTAAGATTGAAATATTTCTTCCAGGCGTTTGACTGTGTGAGCAAACACTAGGATAAAGAAGTAGAAATGAATCGCCCTTAGTGTTTTATGGTTACACATGATTTTATACAGTGTTCAAATAAAATGCAGTTTGTGCCATGTCATGAAAAAGTCATTTGTAGCGTATGGCATGTATGCATAAGAACAGATCATCCAATTAGCATTTCAATTCAGAATTTGTCTCATACCACTAATAGAAAGATTGGAGGCAGTCATTACTGGTCAGCTGTGCAGTATTATCCATTTATGCAGCACTTTCAGTGGTATCTGTGATTCTCTCTCCTCGGCAATGGGATAAATGTTTTGTTTATGGGTAAACTCCAACTTAGGTCATGATCTTAAAGGTCACTAACTAGCCATAAGCTCATGTGGAAATGATTTTAGCAGGACTCCATCCTCATCTCTCTTACCTAGTCCATGCGGGGCCTGAGAACTGTTGAGTCATCTGTGTGTTTTAACTCAATCACAAAGAACAAGGAAGGTAGTGTAAACCAAAGCCATTCCCCTTGTTTAAACAGCTTGCAGGACTCAGAAGCCTTTCTTTTTGCACTTGCATCTCCACTACAGGGTCTCCTCGAGGCTCCACCTCCCTTCTGCAGTTTTGCCCTTCATATACATTACTCACTCCTTCCCAACTGGATATGAGAATCAAACAAAGTTGGCTGAGCTCACATCCCAGTCTGCAACCCTGCCCCACCATGCTCCTTACAAACACTCCATGGCCCTTATACGGTAGCACATCCTATTAAAGGACCAGATTCAAACAAACCTAGGATGTGCTTAAGTGGTATCCTGAGCAAATAAGTACTTGGCTTCACCTCTAGCACATTCTCAAGTCCCACTGAATTCGGTGAAACTTAAAACATGTACATAAGTACTGTCCTATATAAGGGCCTGTGTTTTTGTGGAATGCTGCGAAATCCTTAACTGAAAGGTGTCATAGCCAGAAAAGTTACATGCAAGTTTTTTATCTTTGTGATAACACTTCAGTATGCATGCAGTTCACAATGTCTTTGCCCACACGTTTTAGGATCACCTGGATAAACGAAACCAGGCAGACAAAACCAAAGCAAAACAAAGATTTAAGGAGAGATTCTTCCCAAGAAATGATGTCCAGCACCCATCAGGAAGACCAGCAGAGCCAAGATCTCAGTGTCACAACCATCGCGATATGTCAGAATTTGCAACTGCTCCTACCAGTGCTCTCTCTTCTGAAGTGCTAGAACTTGAGCAAGATGAGATTAGTTCACTGCACAACTGGTTACATGCAAGTCCCTTCCTTAGTCCAATTAGTCCTTCCATTAAGTCAAGTTCAATAGCAAATTGGGACACTCACTCAAATACCAAACCAAGTACAAATTTGCAAAACCAAAATCAAAAGCAAATCTCCATGAACCTGAATTCACCCAAGCAGCCCCTTGAACTAGCATTGCATAAACCGTCTCCTGGCTTAAAACCATCTCCAGTGCACGTCAGAGATGAGAACAAGGCATACCAGCATGATCCTGGAAACCCATATAATCAGGAACATATATACAATGATTTCATTTTAGAGCCTCTTCCAAGCAATGGCTGTACCAATGGTCAAACACACCTACAAAGCATTTCATCTGCTTACAATGCTAATCTTCAAGAACCTGATCATGTTTCACAGCAGAGCCACAGAAAGCAAATGCATGCAGACAAGAGCCATCACAAATATGCCAGCAGTAGCTTTTGGTAAGGACGCAGGTTTGAAAATGTTACTAGCATAATGGTATCTGCCCAAGTAATCATGAGCAGAGAGAGGTGGTTAGCCATGTTAGTCTGAAGTCAGAAGACAGGGCAGAGTTGCACCTTACAAGCTAACTGAATCAGGGATGCATAAGCTTTTATGAGCAAAAGTTTACTTCATCAGATGCTATTAGAGGACATGCAGAGAGCAGGCTATCAAAGAGAAAGAGTGATTTAAATAAAAAAGGGAAGGGGAGAAAGCTTATGCATATCTGATTCAGTCAGTCTATAAGGTGCGACTCTACCCTGCCTTCTGCCAAATAATCATATTGGAGAAAGTAAAAAAAAAAATATATCTGCACAGAAAAATCTGAGATGGTAGAATTGTAGATGTTACACATCTACCACTGTAATTTATTCTTAATTTATAATTTACTTATTTATTGTTATTTACAATGGGCAGCTTCTTTTCTAGCACGATATTTTTAATTGTTCACTATTCTACCTCCTCATATGCACAACATACCCACTAATCTTAACATTTCTGTGTAAAAGAGCTGCAGGATGATTGGTTGCATCGTCTTTAAACCGAGTAAAAAAAAATAACTTGGTTATATGAAAATCTACCTATCTTACACCATAGAATATCAACTCCCAAGTTGTCTAACGCAGCTAAATGAACTCATGTTACGAGACTTGTCTCTACAGATAATCTTAAAATCACCTCTCACTGCAGCTCCACCAATGGCAGTAGCATTGGGAGATAAGGCCCCAGCATTTATTAGAATGGAAATCTACTTGAAAGGAGCAGAAACCTTAAAATCTCCTCTCACCAATTTAGCAGGCCTGATCCAAAGCCTGTTAGAAATTCAATGGATGACTTTCCCATGATTTCAATCAACGTTGGACCAGTGCCAAATGTTTCCAGCGTAACATTTCAGGCTTAATGAAGTTTGTTTCCAAAATACATGGATGCAAGTGAGAATACGTTCAGTCTGCAATAGGAACATTCACTTCTACCTCTGAAGCTTTACGCAATAACGTTGATGGAGATTATTCATTTCTCTTTTTTTCTTTTGAGGCCATCCCAGTCATCTGCTCATAATCCACTGGCAAGCTCTTCTCCCACCACACAATTTATCCAGACCATGGAGAGACATCACTGGCAGATGCTCACCTTGCTGGAAAGCGACTGCCTGGCATGTTTCCAGCCATAATCCCAAGGGTAGAAAGTGACTCAGAGCTAAATGCAGAGAGGAGTGAAGGCAGCCAAGTGAAAATGAGTCGCAGCAATTCTGAAGGGTATCTGGTACAATTGGAAAAGCAAAAACATCTGAAAGAAAAAGCAGTCAGGCAGGTAAGAAAACACTTATCTGTTCAGAAACAATTTTGTATTACTGATTCCTGTTTTTTGACGATATTTGTGTTTATCACCTAAACATTTCAAAAACATTTTAAAATATGGCTGTCCTCATTTTACAGAAGGGGATCCAATACCTACAAATGCTAAGTGAGTTGGCCAAGGTTAAAAATGTCAGTTGCAGAAACTATTATGGAAAAAGAAGATAATTACTAATACCTGATTTTACCAGCTTGGTTTCATACCATATAATCCAAAAACTAAGTCACAGATGTCAGGGTCAGAAGGGACCTCAGTAGATCATAGAGTCTGACCCCCTGCCCTGGGCAGGAAAGAGCGCTGGGTCAGACAACCCCAGCTAGATGTGTGGCCAGTCCCCTCTTGAAGACCCCGAGGGTAGTGGAGAGCATCACCTCCCTTGGCAGCCCATTCCAGATTCTGGCAACCCTTACCACGAAGAAGTTCTTTCTACTGTTCAACCTAAATCTGCTCTCCGTCAATTTGTGGCCATTGTTCTTAGTTACTCCAGAGGGTGCCCTGGTAAATAGAGCATCTCCTATTCCCTGCTGCCCTCCCCTGATGAATTTATAGGCAGCCACAAGATCACATCTCAGCCTTCTCTTGCAAAGGCTGAAGAGATCTAGGTCCTTCAGTCTCTCCTTGTAGGGCCTTGCCTGCAGGCCTCTGACCATATGACTGGCTTCCTCTGGACCCTCTCAAGATCCTTCACATCCCTCTTGAAGTGCAGCGTCCAAAACTGGACACAGTACTCCAGCTGCAGCCTTACCAATGCTGCATAGAGGAGAAGCATCACCTCCCTGGACCTGTTTGTCACGCATCTGCTAATGCACAAGTGCTCAAACAGCTGTGCCAGCAGCTCTCCTATGACACTGGCCAATTCCTTCAGCACCCTTGCATGAAGTTCATCCAGGCCCACTAATTTGAACACATCCAGCCCCTCCAAGTGCCCCTTCACTAAGTCTGTGCTAACAGTTGGTGGGCTGGTGTCCCTCCTGTGTCTCTCTATTTATTGTCCGATTGAGAGATTTGTCGTGGTCTGTATCTAGGAATACAAATGCAAAGAACTCCTGGAAGAGCTCAGCTTTGTCCCCCCTCTCTGTCACCAATTGCCCTTGTTTGTCCTGTAGGGGTCCTATATTACCCTGCACCTTCCTTTTGCTCCCTACATACCTGAAGGATTTCTTGTTGTCTTTAATTTTTGTTGCCAGCCTAAGTTGTAATCCTCCTTTGGCCTCCCTAACTGATTCCCTGCAAGTGTGAGCCAGGGAGGTATATTCCTCCTTGGTAGCTACTCCTGGTTTCCACAGCTTGAATACTGCTTTCTTTGACCTTAGGCTTTCCTGGAATTCCCTGTTCAGCCAAGAGGGCTTCTTGGGCCTTTTCCCCACTTTTATGCACAATGGGATTGTCTCCTCTGCACCCACAGGATTGCTACCTTAAGGAACAACAACCCTTTCTGGACCCCCATTTCGCCAATGCTCTAGAGCTTTAACGCCTTACTAACTAACCTCTTGAGCACACTGAAGTTAGCCTTTCTGAAGTCTAGTACTTGAGCCCTGCTGGTTAGTTTACCCACACTTCTCCAGAGAGTGAATAAAATCAGTTGATGGTCTCTATCCCCTAGGTTACCTTGTACCTGCAGATCCCCCACCAGGTCATCGCCTGTAACTAACACCAAGTCCAGCAAGGCATTTCCCCTAGTGAGAGCATATACCTCCTGTGTTAGGTGGAGGTCCTGTATACAGGTTAAAAACCTATGTGAGCAGTTAGATTTGGCTGACTGCTCCTCCCAGCACATGTCAGGGCATCTTGGCCCCTTTGCCCCCTTTTATGTGCAATGGGATTGTCTCCTCCTGCGCCCATAGGATCACTCCCTTGAGGAACAACCACCCTTCTTCGACCCCCATTTTGCCAATGCTCTCGAGCTTTAATGCCACATTGACTAATCTCCTAAGCACGCTGGTGTTAGCCTTTCAGAAGTCTAGCACTTCAGCCCCGGTTAGTTTTCCCACCCTTTGCCAGATAGTGAAGTCAATCAATCAATGGTCACTATCCCCTAGGTTACTTTGTACCTGCAGATTCCCCACCAGGTCATCCCCTGTAGCTAACACCAAGTCCAGCAAGATGTTTCCCCTAGTGGGATCGTATACCTCCTGCATCAGTGGAGGTCCTATATGCAGGTTAAGAACCTATCTGAGTGGTTAGATTTTGGTGACTGCTCTTCCCAGCAGATGTCCAGGTAGTTTAGGCCACCCAGGACAACCATATCTCTAGACCATACAGCCTCTGAGAGATGTCTGGAGAATTCCAGATCTAGCTCATCCTCCTGGTGTGGCAGTCCATAGTAACCCCCACTACCAAGTCCTTTTCCCCCCGACCCCCTTGTATTCTGACCCACAGTACCTCGGCTTGGCCCTCCTCTGTTCCCATCTTGCTTATAGAGGACGTATATTGTTCCTTAACATAGAAAGCAACACCCTCCTTTCCCCGCCTCTCACTCTATCCTGTCTGTACAACCTGTAACCCTCGATGCCTACTGCCCAATCATGAGTAGGGTCCCACTAGGTTTCAGTTAGTCCAGCTAGGTCAAAGGTGTTGCTTGCAAGCAGGAGTGTAAGTTCCTCCTGCTTGTTCCCTATGCTCCTAGCATTTAAGCTCCGCAATAGGTGCCCTTGGTACCCCGCTGTCTTGATATCTATTGGGCCCCTTATTGCTTACCTGGGCTGATTCAGTGCATTGCTCATGGCTCGCTGATCCTAGGTTCTCCTTATCCTATGCTTCCCTGTCCCCCAACGAACCTAGTTTAACGCCTTTTGGAGATCAGCCAACCCGTTAGAGAACAGACTCTTACCTTTAGAAGAGAGATGAAGACCATCTCATCCCAGGATGCCTCTCTCATGGAAGTGCAGATCATACTTCCATGGGAGAGTCAATTCGTCACAGCATCTTTCCAATCCACTTTGAGGAGTTGGTGAGCTGTAGGAATACGCAGGGCACTGTTTGTCCTTCATATTATCCTAGTGGTAAAATGATTTAGAAAGGGACCAATTGTATAAGACAGCAGGCAGCCAGGCCTCAAATCAGAGCAAATCATTATCCTTGTCATGCCCATTTGCTAGTCAGATCAAATCCCTTGGTTTCCAAGGAAATCAGAGTTACAGGATTTGTAAAGCTAATGGCATAAACATTATTCCAGGTCTGCTGTGGGGGTCATTTTTTTTTTAAACTGGCTATTCTTTGTCTCTTCTGCATGTCCAAATTTCATCCTAGAATTATTTAATGGTGATGAGAAAGAGTGATTTAAAACTAGCCTCTGCACCCATAACAAATTAGAGGTGTAAGGAGTTTGCTCCATGTCTGAGCGCAGCCAGGCTAAACCGAAGTAATTACTCATGTGCTTTATCTAGTGGGTAGTTTGTGTGTTGTTGCTTGGCCAATCTAAGAGGGGCTAGCTGGATTACAACAGTGACTGCGGAGCAGCTTTTCTTCCTTTTTGGTTTCCCTGGGCTCACACCATTGTTTTTGTCTTTTTTCAGTAACTCTCTCACTTGCCCAACTGAAGGGTTTTTGCAGGTTTTTGGTCCTGCTCATGTCACACATTATGACCCTGCTTTTCACATTAAATAAAAGACCTTGAAAACAGATTCAATACAGATCATTGCAAATATAATTGACAGTGATTAGCCATGTAATGAAGCTACCTGTATATGAGACCAGGTGTAGTAGTTTCTGATACTTTCCATTTAAAAAAACAAATGGGTAAGTGTTCCATAAAGGAACTTGGAGCATAAGAGATTTGTCATCCCAAAATATATGGGAGTCTAATTGTTTGCAGAGGCAGTTTAACGTAAAACATGTTCATCATTTGAAATTCAAAAAAAAAAAAAAAAAGGCAACACTTTTGCCTACAGAATTCTTTTGGTGTTCCCGTAATTACCGCACAGTTGAAATGACTGCAAAAGATAGCTCAAAAGAAGACGGCAGACTAGATATTGTATCATTAAGAGTGCTCACTGATTAAATTTCTAAGTAGTACCCAGCTATGGAAGTTACCTGAGTCTTGTTGGAACAAATGTGGAGAGATTCAGGAAT